AAGGGAAGAAAAATATATTTTTGCAGTAGGGAGTAATTAACCTTTAAGTTTCTTGGAAATTGACAAATTATATCATTTCCCATATTCCAAGGCTGCAAGCAATGAGTAGTTTTGACAAACCAAAGTTTGTTCATCAAACAGCACTCAAAGGTACTTGTGGTTCTCCCAGATGGCAAGAACAAATAATTTCAGCAATGCTAGTCTCCAGGCCCGTAGCCAGAAAAAAAATTCAGGAGGGGTTGAAACTCCTCCCCTATCCCTCGAGATGACTTTTCAAGCCAGTGTCTCCTGATCTGGCATGAGATCTCAACAAGGCCCTGAAATTACCATCATTGTGCAAAGGTATTTTGGCTTTTAAAAGTGAGAGAGGGGAATACTGATTTTGAGAAAGCAGTTGAACATGATATTTAGGGAGAAAGGTCAGGACCATTTAAGATACCCAGAAAGGCCAAATTTAACTCGAGAGATTGAAAAGTTTAGTCCTGCTGAAATTACACACAATTTCAATGTCTGTATTTAGTTTATTGGCCTTTGCATGTGTTAAAAATAAAATTTGTAAATGAATGCCTCAGGCTCAAATCTAATAAGAAATATTATGAATCAGATTTTGTGAACTGTAGTATGAGAAGTTAAAGACCAACACAAAAAGAAAGCTTTATCACATTATCACAGGATGTCTGCACCCCACAGCACTGGAGAAATTATACTGTTTAGCTAGTATTGCACCACCTGACATCCACCAGGAAGTAGCAGCCTGGAATTAAAGGACCAAGGCATTGACATTTCCGGCCCATCCTCTGTTCAGATATCAGTCAGAATGCCAATGCCTAAAATTAAGAAATAGCTTTCTGAGATCTACAGAGATACTTGCAGGAATACCTCAGCAAGCAAGAGTCCAAAAGTGGCAGGCTAAAACCCAGAACCACAAGCCATGGCTGATACTGAATGATAGACTCCCTCTTGGGCACACAGAAGATTGGGTGACTTGGAAGGTGCTGAACAGACTGTGCTCTGGCACCACGAGATGCGAGTGTGGAGAAGAGCAAATCACAGACCACCTATTACAATGCAGTCTGAGCCCTGCCATGTGTACAATGGAGGACCTTCTTATAGCAACACCAGAGACACTCCAAGGGGCCAGATACTGGTCAAAGGACATTTAGTATAAATCTCCATCTCCAGATCATCCCTTGTTTGGGTATCAGCCAGCACGTCAACAACTTAAATCAAGAAATAGTTTTCTAAGATCTACAGAGACACTTGCTGGAACACCCCAGCAAGCGAGAGTCCAAAAGTGGCAGGCTCAGACCCAGAACCTCAATCAATGGCTGATACCAAATGAGAGACTCCCCCCTGGGCACACAGAGGACTGGGCGACTTGGAAGGCGATGAACAGACTGCTCTCTGGCACCACAAGATGCAGAGCCAACCTTAAGAAATGAGGCTACAAAGTGGAATCCAAAACATGCGAGTATGGAGAAGAGCAAACCACTGACCACCTACTGCATTGCAACCTGAGCCCTGCTACATGCACAATGGAGGACCTTCTTGCGGCAACACCAGAGGCACTCCAAGTGGCCAGCTACTGGTCAAAGGACATTTAATCAACTACCAAGCTTGCAAACTTTGTGTTTTGCCTGTTTGTTTGTTTTGTTAAAAATGTAATAAAACTGTCTGGTTGCTCCTGACACGATAAATAAATAAGTAAATAAAATTTAGTATAATGCCAAGTTTTTAACTTTGTTTATGTTTTTAAATACATTACAGCTGTACCCTCAATTCACTTCTGACACAATAAATAGAACTGGATTATTTGAATTAGCATTTGAATCACAATGTCTGGCTTTGCAAATCTGTAAGTTGACATCAAAAATACAGTGTGCTTCAACATGGAGCACTCTTCAGACATTCCCTGTTTTTAGCTCTTCTCTTATAGAAATGATTGCTTTGTTGTTCAAGATACTCAGCCACTTGAGAAAAGAAATAGAGGGCAAGAGAGGCATTTGAAATTTGCTTACTAATACACTGAACAACTACAAAATGTGAGGGGATGTTTTCAATTCCACTTGAACTATACAATACTTCAGATTTCGGGACAGGGCAATAAAGTGGCAGTAGGAAAGATGACCATGCCAAAATACTAGATTTGATGTGGATGACTAGGACGGTTTTAAATGGTGTGTTTTAATATTTTGATAAATGTTTTTTAATGTTTATGTATTGTATGTGAATTTGTGTCCCGGCATTGAATGTTTGCCGTGTATATGCTGTGCTCCTCCCTCAGTCCCCTTCAGGGTGAGAAGGGCGGAATATAAATGTTTTAAATAAATAAATATAGCTTGGTAGCATTTAGAGCAGTGGTTCTCAACTTTCCTAATGCCATGACCACTTAATAATGCCTCATGTTGTGGTGACCCCCAACCATAACAATATTTTCATTGCTACTTCATAACTGTAATTTTGCTACTGTTATGAATAGTAATGTAAAGCTCTGATATGCAGGATGTATTTTCATTCACTGGACCAAATTTGGCACAAATATCCGATATACCCACATTTGAATACTGGTGGGGTTGGAGGAGGAATTGATTTTGTCTTTTGGGAGTTGTTGCTGCTGGGATTTACAGTTCACCTACAATAAAAGAGAATTCTGAACTCCACCAATGATGGAATTGAACCAAACTTGGCACTCAAAACTCTCATGACCAACAGAAAATATAGGAAAGGGTTTGGTGGACATTGACCTTGAGTTCTGGAGTCGTAGTGCACCTATACCTATAAAGCACTGTGGGTGCAAACAATCATGGATCTGGACCAAACTTAGCACGGATACTTGGTATGCCCATATCTGAACACTGGTGGAGTTCGGGGAAAACAGACCTTGAAATTTGGGAGTTGTAGTTGCTGGGATTTATAGTCCACCTACACTCAAAGAGCATTCTGAACCTCACCTATGATAGAATTGGGCCAAACTTCCTACACAGAACCCAAATGACCAACAGAAAATACTGTGTTTTCTGATGGTCTTTGGTGACTCCTCTGACATCCCCTCACAACCCCCAGGTTGAGAAACGCTGATTTAGAAAACAAATGTTGTAGATGTTCCTTTCACAGAAGTGCTTAGATGTCAATTGCCATGGTCAACTGCTTAAGTGGCTGAGGGGGAAAAGGAAAGGGCCTGAGGCTGCTAAGAATGGTAGGAGTTGAAGTCCAAAACACCTGGAGGGAGGGCCTAAATTTGCCAATCCCTGCTATATAGCCTCACAAAAATCTGTCTATATATGGTTTGGATATATGTGGATTTAATTTCAGGGTTTTTTAAATCAGATTTTTTTTAAAAAATCTCATAAGTTGAAAGTTAAAAGCAGTAAAAATGGCAGATTTGTCCACCACTAACATTATGTTAAAGCCAACCAATCCTCCCTCAGCATGCAGAAGAAAGAACGTATTACATTAGAGACATACAAGTTCATGTAAATTCATGTTTGGAGTGCATCATGTCAACAAAAGATGTTGTAAGCTCTGCCTTCTTAAAGCAAATCACTTTAAGGTCCTTCTCCCAACAAAACTACATAAAATTGATTTCAATGGCAATATCAACACTTTCATTAAGATCTCAATACCCCACAACCAGAAGGAGGAAGCAAATAAGAAATGTACAGAGTAAGAACCTAAACTAAAAGATAATGTGACAAAAGTTTATCTCATGTACATCAGGGCAATACATTTAACTCTTGCAATGTATTTATATTATAGTATAACCCCCATATCTACAGGGCATGCATTCAAAAAAAAAAAAACCCCAGTAGATCCCCAAAACCAGAGATAATACTGGTATTGGGGATCAAAATATAGGGTTGGAACTATATTTCAACTAAATTTGGGTTGGACGCATGATATAGAAAAGCATTGGAGAACCTAGAGAGGCATACAACACTTCTGAGGTCGAATATTTTTGGAGTGTGGGTAAGTGGAGCCATCATTGTACTGCATATTTTCAAATAATAATATTTCACTCCATGTTTTGATGGAGGGGGGGGGGGAGAAAATAGTGAAAATATGTTGTCGAACGCTTTCATGGCTGGAATCACTGGGTTGCTGTGAGTTTTCTGGGCTGTGTGGCCATGTTCCAGAAGCATTCTCTCCTGATGTTTTGCCCACATCTATGGCAGGCATTCTCAGAAGTTGTGAGGTCTGTTGGAAACTAAACAAGTGAGGTTTATATATCTGTGGCATGTCCAGGGTAGGAGAAAGAACTCTTGTCTGTTTTTGGCAAGTGTAAATGTTGCAATTGGCCACCTTGATTAGCACTGAATGGTCTTGCAGCTTCAAAGCCTGGCTGCTTCCAGCCTGGGGGGATTCCTTTGTTGGGAGGTATTAACTGGTCAATTGTTTCTTCTCTGGAATTCCCTTTTTTAAGTGTTGTTCTTTATTTACTGTCCTGATTTTGGAGTTTGTTAATACTGGTAGCCAGATTTTGTTCATTTTCATTGTTTCCTCCTTTCTGTTGAAATTGTTAACATGTCTGTCTGGAATTCCCCTATTTTCTGGATGCTGTTCTTTATACATAAACCTCACCTGCCTAGTTTCCAACAGACCTTACAACCTCTGAGGATGCCTGCCATAGATGTGGCGAAATGCCAGGAGACAATGCTTATGGAACATGGTCATACAGCCCAGAAAACTCACAGCAGCTCAAAATAGTGAAAGTTATCTATCAAGGCTGTCAATATTCAGAAAAATAAATTGTTCTAGTTATTAATACAGACTCATTCATAAAAAATGTAGTCAATATTTTCTGACTACATTTTCCAAGCAATCTTTCACATTTAAATTGTAGCTTCACCAAACATAGTTCAAACAATTATTGTTAATTAAACCCATTTATCTGCACTACTTTTGTCATTTTATTTTCTTGCTCTTCAATTTTATCAGGTGCTCATTCATCTCTATTAGTACTGGTACAATATTGAAAATGTGAGATCCACAGAGTAACTTACTTTCTTGTATTGCATTAAGAATTTCTGAAAAGTCCACATCTCTCTTCTGAGCATCAGGCCTGATTGGTATTTGTGTTTCCAGCTGATGACCTTGACAAAGCTCTCTTCCTTCTAAAGAAATCGAAGAGATGGGTGGAGTATGCAATTGTTTAGTAGCGACTCCAGCAAAGATGGATGGGAAGGAAACAATGGTCGCAACAGCTAAGGCTGCCTAGAATTATTGTTCTTCTGTGTGAAAATATATTCATTAAAGAACATATTCGTTAAAGTACAATAATCTATCAGTCTGCTTTTGAGTCATTCCCAAACTAAATCGTCATGTATGTATGCTCATAATCAATTCCCTTCCATTGAAATGCAAATAGTAGCTTCAGAGAGGCCATTTTTTCATGAAGAGAAAATGTTAATTTTTTCCCCGTCACCATGGATCATGATTCCAATTCCAAACCTACTTAGTGTCTCTATAGCTGCTATTAACGATAATAAGAATGTTGTCCTCTTATTGTTTTCACAAAATTAGTTTGAGATTGGTCCTTAATGGCAATATAACACTTAATTCAAATTAAGTGTTATGTTGCCATTCAGGACCAATCTCAACCTAATTTTGGACAAAGGGTATCCTTTCAGATGCAGCACCTGCCATACCTCACCATTGGGTATGCTGATCAGGGCACAGGAGACATGCAATCTAGCAAAATCTGGAAGGCTGTGTTTTGACCATTTCACTTTAATTGGTTTTAAGCCAATTTTGCCCTGTAATCAGTGAGACATCTACTTTTTGTTGTTACAAATCTATTTAGTATTCTCCGTTAAATGGTTCCAAGGGACCCCCTGTGAATGCTCACTATTTTATGGCCACTGAAAAACACCATACAATAGAGAAGGCATTTATTTTATGTTTGCTCTAACTTTTGGTATTTTTATATCTAAAATAACATTATGTAACAATATTTGAAAAGAAATCTGTTCCTGGTTTGAAAGTATTATTTCCTTTTAAATAGTACAGTACTTACCATATATATTCAAGTATAAGCCGGCTCGAATATAAGCCAAGACACCTAATTTTACCACAAAAACTGGGAAAACGGACTGACTCACGTATAAGCTGAGGGTGGAAAATGAAGAGGCTACTGGTAAATCTCAAAATAAAAATTGATACTGATAAAATTATATTAACTGAGATATCAGTAGGTTAAATGTTTTTTAATATTTACATTAAATTGTAATTTAAGGCAAGACTGGCCAATTCTGATTAAATCATTTTTCGAATCTTCTTCAGTGTAAATGTGCTTACATATCCTTCCAATCATCACCATAGTTTATTTTAATGATACATTTTGTGGGAAATGCTGTCTGCATGTGAATAAGGAAAAGTGGGAAAGATTGGCGCCAAGAGAGGTGAGGAAGGTGCGCGCTGTGCAAGAGATGGGGAGAGAAAGGAGAGCTGGGTTGCTGTGTGGCGAGGTGAGGGTCCTGGCAGGTAGGTGTGGGGCTGAAAGAAGCCCTTCTTTCAGCCCTACACCTCCCACCAGGACCCTCACCCGAATATATGCTGAGGGAGGCCTTTTCAGCCAAAAAAGGGCAGAAAAAGGGCAGAAAAACTAGGCTTATACTTGAGTATATACAGTACTTTGAAAGTAGTTGTTATACTCCAGAAACTTCGTTTTTGTGGCTGCCACAAACTAAGTTGAATTGGTTGAGACTCTATGAGATATTTATTGGAAAACTACAGCAAAATGTGCTGCAGGATGTCCCACAAAAACAAATTTTTGGAGTTTCATAAACCTTTTCCATGTTTGTATAGCCAGTCTGAGTCCCTCTGCAGAAGTAGAGAAGATCGGGATATAAAAGATTTTAAATAATATAACAGAACCAATTAAGAAATGTCATTTATAACCCAGAAACAAAAATCATGTTACATAGAGCAATTAGTGGAATTACAAAGACTAAAACAACATGTGTATGTTTGCCCTTCATAGCTTTATAGACTTAAAAATATCACTATGTCTTAAAAAGATCAGGCAAAGACATGTATAGATGTACACATTTTTTCTTCCCTTCTTTGGTATTGTTTTCTCTCCTTGCCCAACTCCACATGACCCCTTTTCATTCTCTTTACAATATAAATAATGGTCCCCATGGAGGAAACCATAGCTGCACTCAGCACCTCCATTTTTCAAAAATAATTCTATACAACCCTCTAGTCCAGGCATGGGTAAACTTGGGACCTCAAGGTGTTTTGGACTTTAACTCCCTAACAGCTGATAGGATGTTAGGAATTGTGGGAGTTGAAGTCCAAAACACCAGGACGGCCCAAATTTGACCATACCTGCTCTAGTCCCAGGAAATCAGTTAAGTTTCACCAGTTATAACAGTTAGCAGAAAGAAAGGGAAAAGAGGAAGGGAAGCAGCTGCACTGAAGCCTTTCAGACTACACAATAGTAGTGCTATGATTCCCCTTTAACTGCCATGTCAACATCAAAGAGGGGCAGTTCAGAGAAAGCTCTAGTATCCCATCAAACTTCAAGTCCCAGGATGCATCCATGGTAATAAAAGTGGAATCATGGGCAATATCTTTCCAATAAATTCCATACCCTCCAAGATTTCATAGATTAAAGTAGCCATGCCACAGAGTTAGAATACACAAAGTATTTTAATCAGAGAAACTCTGAAATTCAACTACTGAATTTAGAAAAGGCAAGAGCTCTTCCCCTCTTCTCTTTTTCTTCCTGCTGAGTTAATTGAGTGCTGTGTACCTCTGTACTTTGAACTCATTTTGCAGAAATTTAAGTAAGCTGAGGAAAGTGGGACATTATTGATGTAACTGTGAAACTGGGCCAGTAGAGGTTCAAGCAAAACTTTGCTGCCAAATCAGGAAAGAGAGAGGGTATGGAATCCCACTGTTATCCTCTGGTCCAGTGGTTCTCAACCTGTGGGTCCCCAAATATTTTGGCCTTCAACTCTCAGGAATCCTAACAGCTGGCAAACTGGCTGGGATTTTTGGGAGTTCTTGGCCAAAACACCTGGAGACCCACAGGTTGAGAACCATCTGGATGGGTTTTCAGCACCAAGGAGAGCAGGAGTGGGAGTCTCAATTCCCTTGGTGTCAAGACTACACCAATAAATCTGGGCCAATGGCAACCCCAAACCCAATCCAATATGTAGAGGAGATTATAAGCATACGAAGGCTCAACTTAATCTAGAACAAGTTTCAGAACAAAAAAAAGCAAACAAGACAAGTACAATCTGTGATGTGTTTAAGGATGAAAGCAGGATGCCAAAGCACAATCACTTAACTCAGCTAATTTTGTTCAAGCTTCAGCATGCCATTTATGAAATGTTGCAGCACTATAAAATACACTGAATACGTGATCCAGGCACAAAGAGTGATGAGAGTTGTACTGCTTTTCAACACTTTAGACAAGAGGATAAAGGCCAGGGAACTCATTGTGAAATGTGCTACAAACCAATGCATTGTTATTACATTGATAAATTGTTTTGTGATACATGATTTCTGAACTGGCCATAGCATATACAATCACTTAGCATTTCATCACTTTTGTGATTCTCCATAAGAGGTGATCCATGTCTCAAGTGTGGTTGTGTGGAGACTCACAATGAGCCTTCACACTGGTGAAAGAGGTGTTATTTTCATTCACAGCCCCATGGTGAATGACCTTTATGCTTTAGCTCTGACACAGAGAATAAAAATACTCCCTAAGAGGTTGCTTTGAACACACAAGAGTACAATAAAGAAGGGGAGACAAACAGAAACCCTGGAACCAGTTTGAAGCCTGGATGGGAATTACACACATCATAGAGCACCGATGTGCATTAAGGGCTTTCTTTCGCACACTTTAGTGGAGTTTATTGTCTTTGAACTGCAATAAATAATCAGTGTAGATGGGGCCTGAGAGAACAAGTCTCAAATAATCAAGGGTTTTCTGCTAAGGAATGGAAGGAGTGTGGTAAAAGAAGGAAATAAACAGTTACGATAATGCAAACAGTTAGTGAGTTAACAGCCTCACTGTACTAATTCACTAACACACCCCTTCTCTTCCTATCTCATTCTAACAGGGATAGAGAAAACCTCTTTTCAAGCATTGCTTGCCCTGATTTATTGAACAATGAATCAGGGAATTGCCTAGATCAACCCTTCTAGAAACAAGAGGGGAAGTTTCTATAACACGGATCCTCCTATAACATGGATTCTCCTTGTAAAGCAGAAACCTGAAAAGTCAACAATCATTCTAATGTAGAAAGCCTCCACAGCAACAGAAGTGCCTTCTCATCAGTATGTTGCTTTCCATATGAAGATATAATGAACCAGGGTCAGATGCTCCCTTTTTCTTTCTCATGTTAGGAGCGACTTGAGAAACTGCAAGTCACTTCAGGTTTGAGAGAATTGGCTGTCTGCAAGGACGTTTCCCAGGGGACGCCCGGTTGTTTGATATTTTACCATCCTTGTGGGGAGCTGGAGCTGACAGCGGGAGCTCAACCTGCTTTCCCCAGATTTGAACCGCTGACCTGTTGGTTAGCAGTCCTGCTGGCACAAGAGTTTAATCACTGGGGGCTCCAGATGATCCCTTGATCTTACACTAAAGCAGTGGTTCCCAACCTGTGGTCCATGGACAACCAGTGGTCTGTAAGAATAAAAATATGCTCTGCAGCCTCACTATTACTACACCGTTGCCTCGAAATCACGTGGCAATGAGAGCGACTGGTCTCGCAAAACCCTCTTACAGTGCCGAGGCAACAGGGATGTCTGGAGGGGAGAGACTGACTACCCACGAAATATTACTACTACCACATTAACTCTAGATTATTAAATATGCTTTTCTGTGGGCAAGCAGATGGTGATTACTGGATGGCATATGTTTTGTATCAGAAACGAGAACTGATGTAGTCTATCCAATGCAGTTTTCAGAATCAGCTCCCCAAATAACCAAACTGAATCTAAAGTTGACCAAAATTCATAACCCTTTTGGTACTAATGTTGGAGAGTGGTCCCTGGTCAAAGTGCTCCCTGGTTAAGTGGTCCCTGGTCAAAAAAAGGCTGGGAACCACTGCACTAAAGAAAACAGGATGGGCAATACCTGAACAAGGCCGATGTAGAAAGATCAGACTGATTCTATACAGAATAGATCCATTCTTCATACATCTCATGAAGGCGATACACGTTACACTCCTGGGAGAATTTAACTATGTTAGGGAAGGTCAGAGAAGCCAAATCCAGATATCCTGTCTTCATGCTCAAAAAAAGCCTACTTGCAGTAAGTAGCAAGAAAGTCCTCGTCTAACTATATCAAAGAGAGTCTAATAAACTGAAGGGAAACACAAGGAAATGGCTTACTGGTAGCAAACCAGAATGAGTGTACTCTTTGTTTTTAAAGAATCTCTGTCTTTTGAGGAGACAATAGGTGTGGGTGAAACAGCTTCCAGCTCTTGGGGAACAATTATTATTGGTTAATACTAAAATGAGGAGCCCCTAGTGGCGCAGTGGGTTAAACCACTGAGCTGCTGAGCTTATTGACCAAAAGGTTGCAGGTTCAAATCCGGGGAGTGCCGTGAGCTTCTGCTGTCAGCCCCAGCTTCTGCCAACTTAGTAGTTCGAAAACATGCAAATATGAGTAGACCAATAGGTACCACTCCGGCAGGAAGGTAACAGCACTCCATGTAGTAATGACATTGGAGGTGTCTTCGGACAACGCCGATTCTTTGGCTTGGAAATGGAGATGAGCACACACCCCAGAGTTAGACGTGACTGGACTTTATGTCAGGGGAAAACCTTTACCTTACTAATACTAAAATGCTCCCTGAAATGGCAAAACATATAGATCTAAATCATTTTCTTGCTTTCAGAAGAAAACATTCTGGAAGAAATTTAATGAGGAAAGGTACATAGTCCTTAAGGGATATGACTTCCCTTCTTCCATGGCTTTATGATCCCCATGACTGCCATTGAAAAATAAATAAATAAAGAAAATAGCACTATATATCATATAAAGTGATTCTCAGCAAAAGATCTGAAAACAAAGACAGCCAATCTGAATCTAAATACCTTGTTCAATCCTAACCATTCATTTTGTGAAAGAATATGTGAACACTGGAAAAACCTATAGATAAGGTAACAAAATAATAGTAAGAAAGATACTGGAGAATGTTCCCTATTGGGAAATTAGAGGTAGAAACACTAAAGGAAGCATGGTGAGAGTGAATTATACATTTTCCCCCAGTCTTATAAGATTGGAGAAAGATTCAGAACTCAAATTACCCAATGAAATATGATCAGCAGTAGGCTGAGAACAGACAAAAGGAAGTACAGTGTCACATTGTACATAATTAATTTATGGAGTTCACCACAACAGGATGTGGTGATGACCATTAGCTTAGGTGCCTTTAAGGGAATAAAGGATAGGTCTGTCGATTGCTAATAGCTTATCACTATTATTTCCAGATACATGGAACAACAACTGTGAGGGTTACAATTATTGCTTTTTACCATAGGATTTAATTACAGCAACTTAGTCGTTAGATTTTTCCAACCAATATCACTCAAGGAAAGCTGTGACCATAAAATGCATCACATTACGTGAAAACAGGGATGGGAAATAATGGATTAAACTCATGTGGCTACATAAACAAGTAAGAAGGATAAATCAGTGCTGTTGCTGTATGTTTCCAATTCTACTCCAACTTATACTGAATTTATGGTAGTGTTTTCTTGGCAAGACTTATTAAGAGGAAGTTTGACATTGCTTTCTATTGAGGTTGAGCGAGTGTGACTTCTGCATGATAATCTAGTGCGTTTTCATGGATTTTCTTGATCAAGCAGGCATTTGGTCTCCTGTAATATAGTCCTAGTCCAACACATAAACCACTGGGTCTGAACATTACGTTGATATTTCACATAATGCAGAAGTGGGGATAATATTCTGCTTTGGTTGGATCTTACCTGGAATACTGTCTCAAATTCTGAGCACCACAATTTAAAAGAGATATTAACAAGCTGGAAGGTGTCAAGAGAAGGGCAACAAAAATAATCAAAGGTCTGGAGACCATGCCCTATGAGGAGGGGCTTATAGAACTGGGTATGTTAAGCCTGCAAAAGAGAAGGTTGAGTGGAGACATGATCGCCACATATAAATATGTGAGAGGATGTCATAAGGAGGAAGGAGCAGGCTTGTTTTCTGCTGCCCTGGAAACTAGGACACTTTTGGACACTTCCTCCTTGCTGCCCATTGGACGTCATCACATGACGTAGGGAGACTTCTGGTGGGGTCCTGTGGAGGAAGTGTCATGAAAGTGGCACACAAGGCTTCCCTCGGAACATGGAGGCTTCCTGGGTCCTGTAGAAAACTACAGGGCCAAGCCATGGTGGTGATGCTTCCCCACATGGGATGGGGAAATATCAGCTGCAGGCAAGGCAGGGCACGAGGATTGTCCCACTGATTCACCATGGGTGGTGGTGATTCACCCCACAGAATCTCCTCCATGCGATGAGGTCCTAGGACTCAGAGCAATGGATTCAAATTACAGGAAAGGAGATTCCACCTGAACATTAGGAGAACTTTCTGATGGTAAGAGCTGTTCAGTAGTGGAATTCTCTGCCTCCGTGTGGTTGAAGCTCCTTCCTTGGAGGCTTTTAAACAGAAGTTGGATGGCCATCTGTCGAGGGTACTTTGATAGTGCTTTATCTGCATGTCAGGGGGTTGAACTAGATGGCCTATATGGTCTCTTCCAACTCTATTATTCTACGATTCTATATGTCCTTCTAGTCATTTTGGGACTGCAACTCTCAGTATGCCACATCATTGGCTATGCTAGATGGGCTCCTGAAACGTACTCCACTATTTGGAGGTCTACGTGATTTATACATCTCCCCTAATGAGTAGCTTAATCTGTAATGATTTTGCAGATTTATATTTACATACAATAAATATCCCAGAGAGCTAGAGAGGGATAGAGATAATTTATCTCTACAACTTCTATATTTTCATGAATTGTGGAAATTGTTGGGTACAACATGGGAAGGAATCATGGAAAGAATTTCATTTTGAATTGCATGTAAAGCTACAACACAACTTATTCTGTTAATCATTTTGATCAACATGAGCTTTTTCTGTGAAACTATTTGCACTGAGAGGAAAGCAAGAAATATTAATAGTGCAATGAATTCTCTAGCATGAGTGTTTAGGAACAGCAAACGCTTGTGGTGATTTTCTGGACAGAAATTTCAGAATGTGAAAAATTCCTAGTTTTTCTGAAATCACCAAGCTGTCTTTGCTCTTTCTGTAGATGGTTGTCAACCACTGCAGCTGTAAACAAGCGTACAGAGAAAGGCTAAAATGAACATCAATCTATTGCCATTGATCCATAGATTGATTTCCATGCAACCTTGATTAAATGCTATGAGTATTTCATAGCATGTATCAGTCATGTAAAGCAATCAGAAGATGATGGAGTGATATATGTTACCTGGTTGATGAGTAACTGGCTTCCCAACTGGAGATGGTAATACGATAGATCCAGAAGAAGAAGCTTCCATTTTTATTGTCTTTCTGACTTGTGGAAGTGAAGAATGCCTAACCACAGATGGACGCTGTGGTAACCAATGGCTTGCTGTACTTCTCCGTTGGTAGATCTGAACAAACTTTTCAGCCCCATGAATAGATGAGTTTTCACCTACCAGAAAGGAAAAAAAAATCAAGTATAACAAATATAAGTCATAGATTCCAATAATAAGTAAGTAAGGGAATAACAATTTTGCATAAGTATTATATATAATATTATAAACACTGGCAAAATTTTAGAAAGGACTGAAATTAATTATTTTAAAGCAGTCAACAAATGCTTAAATTTTATACTAATCTGGGCAATCATGATCACATAAAGTCTCCAAACTTCTTGGTCTAAAACTGATTGAAGGCACAGAATAATAAACAATTGTAGTTTAAGTTCAATCTTTAACTGAGGAATCCTAGTTGTTGTTAAGGAATCTTAATTTATGTTTCATATACACCTCATATACATAGTCTGAAGATAATTTTATACAGTACTTTTTAATTCTTTTGTCCATGAAACAAAATCTGCATACACTGAACCATCAAAAAGCTGAGGTGTCACTCTAGCATCCCCCTATGTGGATAATTTCATTTTTGGAGTATTCCAGATTTTGGGTCTCTGAGTAAGGGATGCTCGACATATACTAACTATGCAATCTTAAATGAATATATTCAAAAAACTGTCATTTCGGTAATGCTTAACTAATGTAAATCATAGGTAATAAAGTAGAGTATGTTGGAGCATGTAAAAAAACAGTTGGTGAGTGTGTTGACTGAAAAATGCAAAGCAGGAAGCAGATTGGTTGGGCCACACCCAAGAGGCTAGCTGAGCCTGGGAATTTTGGCAACAGTTACATGTTTAGGTTTTCTGTGTAGGAGCTTGCCAAGTCAGTTTGTATTTCTGCTTCTGAGGTGCTGGAAGAAGATCTTTCAGAGGGACACCTAAGGACCATTTGAATCTCTCTCAAAAGGACATTGTGTGAGTCAATGTAACTGTTCACATGACTGTATATATGTTACTCTGCATAACAAAGAGTAAACACCTTATTCTTTACTGATCATCTGCGTGGCATAGCTTTTCTCTAGTGTGTGGATTAGTAAATACATGAACTACGTGTAATTTTCATTCTGCCACAGAGAATTTATATTTAGAAATGGATTATCATTATTCAGTATATTCAACAATTACTTATATTTGTTCCCTTCCCTTTCAGACAATTATGTCCCAGATATTCCATATCCTATTTTAAAGCAAGGGGAACAGCATCGTATTTCGCTACTTTCCTCTAGCATGAATACATCTCATATCTTGGAAAAGTTTATTTCATGTGCCTGCATTTCCCAGAATTACCCAACTAACATGACTATTTGGAGTTGTTATCTCTCAATAATATGTTTTTCAAGTTTTGTTATATTTCTGATATGCCTGAAGGCAAAGCTACAGTACTTTCAACTGATGGAATATAATACTTCTGAAGAAATGTGGACAATTGCCATTTTCCCCACTGTTCTGGATGTATTTCTCACACAGCTCCTGAAATTCCCACTTTCTTAAAAATATTAAAAGTAAGGAACACTCTCTTTTTTATTGCCTGAGTCTCACAGCGTTGACTTAACTTTCATAACAGGCCTTTTCTGACTGGTTTCCAATAGTAGATTTTGACTATGATTTAGCTGTAATTGGGAGGGGGGCTCTTTGAGATAGAAAATAAGGTGATATCATAACAGTCTTCTGTTTTCCTTCACACTCTGTCTTCATTGCAGGAGTTCACTTTACTTATTATTGTAATCTATGACTCATATTGATTATACTTGACCATTTATTGTGATTTTACAGCCCCACATGTGACTAAAACTACTAAGTTTCCACTTCTCATTCACATTGGCTGTTTGCAGTGCTGCAATTCAAGCTGAATTTTCAGTTGAAAGAGGGAGTCTCCAAGGGTGGTCATGAAGGAGTTCTCAGCTTTGCTTTAGCCTATGTTTTATTAACATTCAGTGCATGTTTTCTCAACTCCTGTGAGTGATGTGATTTGAGAGAAGCAATTTAATGCTGTGTTCCTGTTAATGCTTAAAATGTTAAACTGGAGTGATTTGTGATGACATATAGTGAGGAGTTCCGACATTCCTAAAAAAGGCATGGATCTATAAATGTAAACAATATGCCTTTACTAACCCTCAATTATTATATATCAGTCCCTGAGCTCAATGAAAAACATTGAGTCAAACCACCTCTTTAAATATTGAACCCTGACTTGAGTGCCACTTAAGCAAATTTAGAAGAAAATAACAAAAAACATCTCTATTGCAATTCCTTTTATTTTACAAAATTTGCAAATTTTTACCTTCCTAACTTGTTTTGTCCATAATTCCTAGGTCTGTGTTAGAATAATAAGAAGAGGAAGATGGACTTAATTATGAGATGCAGCCAAATCACCTTTAAGTTTTTGCTTTAGTGCCGGGCTTTAGCACAGCTGGTTAATCACCAGCAGCAATACATCTTACCAGTCAAAAGGTTGGAAGCTCGAAGCCCGTATCAGGGTAAGCACCCAACCTTCAGCACAGCTTACTGTCCACATAAGCAGTTCAAAAACATCTATAAGCTGTGGGTAGAGAAATTAGGCACTGCTTAAGTGGGGCAAATTTTACAGCACCATAAAAGAAATACTAGAAAAATGCCAGCAATGAAAGAAGGAGGACGTCTGTGATCTAGGCTCTTCATCATAGAGGATGGAGCGACAGCACCCTCCTGTGGCTGGAATTGAGCACAACCTCCAGGACACCGAAGTGCCAACGTATTACCTCTATCTGTTGTCTGTCCTGTCTGTTTAACAGTATTGAATGTTTGCCGTGTATGCATTCTGTGATCTGCCCTGAGTCCCCTTCAAGGTGAGAAGGGCAGAATATAAGTACTGTAAATAAATAAATAAAGTTTTTGCTCCATGTTAGAGTCAACCAAATAGCAATCAGCACTTGCTGAACTCCCCTCCTCTAATCCACCATCAAAAATATAGGAATCATATACAGCTTTTTTTGCTTTGGAAACCTATTCTATATATTTTTAGTAATATAAATGTTAGTATAAAAAGGTGCAGTTCCATAGGTAGAATATGAATACATTTTATCACCTGATTATTGTCCAGTGATTTTCAGACATATTTCCTAAAATACTTTTGACTTCAGATTCTATCAGATTCCAATAGTCTGGGATTATGGAAGCTGAAGGTCAAAACACTGGCTTTGGACATTATCCCATGCAGAGGAGAGGGAGCATCATATTAGAAACACATCGTATCATTTCTCAGATCCCATCACACATTGCTCTTTCTTGCCTTTTCTCCCAAATTCATCCATTTTCAGATATATCTCACAAACAAGTGTAGTTCCCACCCACTCAATTTTCCCCCTCCAGTTTCATAGAGATTCCTGAGCTCAAAAGATGATATTTGGCCATCTCCACCCCCCACCCCCCAATTCCCTGACACTTAAGAAACACCTTTCTAACAAGGCATGATGGACACTGACAGGAGTCCCCATGCATCATGGAATGGGCTCCATCACACATCCTTTCTGTTTATTCAGTTTCTAGAAAAGGAGGCAGGATGTATGGCTGCATGGGATAATGCCCTTTGTAGATATTAGCTTCAAAAGACTCCTGGTTTATTTTAAAAAGAGCATCCTAAGACTATACTAGAAAACTATAACATAAACATGGATCAGCCCAACATTTTTCACTGCTGTTTACTCACTGTTAACACATGCTTTTAAAAATATTTTCTGATTAATAGATATAGAGGACATGAAATCTTGTACATGTTTGGGAGTTTTGAGTTGACTGAATTAAAGTACAATACTATTTTCGATTCCCCCGACCCCAACTGAATGTTTTTTTTACATAGCCTCAGCTATGTAATTATGATATAATTGAAAAAAATATTATTCCTCCCTTAGTACAACTATAGCCTACTAAGAAAAATGAGGTAGTTCAGAATTCTGTCAGGGAGCACCTTCCCTATCCTCAGGCATCACCATTCAAAACTGTTTTGGTGTTTTCCAAGGTTACAGAGGCATGTCAGCCTATCATCTTTCAGGTCTCTGCATTCATGAACTCTGTCATCTTTACATCAATTACATATTGTTTCCTTGTTCTTGAGTGCCACAGGTACAAATGTGCCAAGTCACATGGGGCATTTTAAACAGTTCATGGAACACATGCCTAAGTAAGCTTCCTTAGTCACCTGAATGAAAGAAGTTGCACTATATGCATATGGCTTTGTCTTCATGGACTGTTTATTTACAGTGTAATAAATGCATAAGCCCTTCTCAGTTGCCTAGTTTTTCATACTGCAGCTCTCAAGTCAAACACACAGTTTGGCATCAGATATCCCAGTTTTAGGAATGTTACAATTAAATCCTAGTCTAGTCAGAAATAAGGACCATTGTATTGGATGAGGCTTTTTCACAAGAAAGTAGGTTTAGAACCAAAACCTAGCATTTTATAATTCTCCCTGTACCTATTATATTTTCTATGGAAAGATTGTATTAAGCCCCAGCATTTTAAATACAACTGCCTTCTCATGACAGCCATAAAATACACAAAGGAAATTTATCTTTCCAATAAATCCCAAAACATTAAATATATCAATAGTAACCTCAGTTATCTAAGTGCTGGAACTTTTAAGTAGCCAAAATGGAAACCATCTCTGCATAAGTGGGAGGTATCGGCAGTTTTGGGAGCAATTTAAATTTTGCAGAAGCAAAAAAAAAAAAGCAAAAAGAAAAAAAAAAGAGAGAGAGAGAGAGAGAGAGAGAGAGAGAGAGAGAGATGGAAATATTAAAGGAAAGGAAACCGATGAGGAAATGAAAGCACTGGCTGATTTAGGGATGGATTGGGAAACCATTGGGATTAGAGGATGAGGAAGGGAGTTGCATATGCAGGAAACGGGTGACTGGAGCATGGAAGAAGTTCATTCTATATAGTGTAACATGTATAGGTTTTATTTCTAGGATGAAAAAACCTTAGAATGTGTTTTATCGTCTCAACCATGCTGATAACATAAAACAAGCCTACTCTGAAACTCTTGGGGTTAATGCTATCATTGTCAAAGTCCTGCCCAACAA